AGGTTTATAGATGGAATATAGAAGAGAATCAATTCCAGAAGTTTTAATTAATGTTTTCAAACATTAAATTTCCCTCAATGTCTATATGCTAACTTTATTGTTGGTCTGTTTTGAAAGCTTTGGGAAGGAAGTAAGCCTTGAGAAGGGTAAGCATGAAAGAAGTTAGACCATTGGGATTGGCTCCTTTAAAAGGATGGAAACCACACCTCGTGTTCTCCCTTTCTCCTTCACTCAGCTTCTCAGCCTCCAAGAAGTGAGCTGCTTTTCCCCATCACATCCTATTTGTCTCAAATCCAAAGGCAGCAGGGCCAAGAACTAAGGCCTGAAAAATCTCTGAATCTGAGCCAAAATAAATGTTTCTGTCTTATAGATGAAACATCTTAGTTATTTTACCATGATGGAAAACTGACTAAAAATACTTTACCCAAGTTCAATTTTCACATGATCTTTGCTATCATTCTCATCGACACTGTTACCAACACATCATTGTTCTCTCAATTTCCTTCAGGGAGTGTTTGACAATGCTTTCTAACTACAGTGTGGAGGAAGAAGAGTGAAGTTGAAAAGATATTTCTCTAATGTGGCTGGATCCCCAAGCTCCCTCAAGCCAACTATGCTTTTGTGTCCTCATTCTTAGTGGTCATCTCCACTCTCTATAGATTTTGGGGTTTTTCTACAGACTTTCTCACCATCTTATTGCTTAATATCTTCTTTATTTCTAATTCTTTATGCAGGGGAAGGGAGCCAGAATCTAGTGCTCATTTTTAAAAACATCCTGGCAGAAATTAAAGCTTGCTCTTTCTTCCCTCTTAATGTGACATGTAAATAACTAATTATGAACTTGAGTTATCTGAAAAGGAATTTCCGGGTTTACTAGACTAGAAGCAAAGGAAAAAAAACTACATTGCAAGGAAGAATTAGTTATTTTAAAGATCTAATACTTTAGAATTCTTAAAATATGCAAATATATAATTATTATAGTTTATTTTAAATTCCACATAGAAGTTTTTGTTTGTGTTTTGAAAGAAAGTCTTGCAAAGTAGACAAGGTTAGCCTCAAACTCAAGGTTCTTGGCTTAGACTACCAAATGTTGGGATTAAAGGCACATGCCATCATATGTGGCTAGAATGACACCTGTATAAACAATTTCCAGTATTAAAATATGGATGCTTGGAAATGCATATCACACTGGGCTGCAGATTCTTCTAAGGAATGATGCATTTGGAAAATAGTGAATCTGTCTACATAGATTCTGGAAGCATTCAGGAATGTGCAGGTCAACAGACTTTAGCATGAGAATTAAGAGACTAAATAACATAAAAGCCTCCTGATACTGGGATTGGGCTTTCTGAAAGGCTTGAGATCCTTGCTCCAATCATACTGTGCCATGGGACGCTCTGAGTCTCTCCTGGAGGTTTGGGGATGCCAAAAAGTTTGCACTCTCAAGTGGCTATAGACTGCCATGCCTCCTTCTGTGTAAGGTACAGCTGCATGCAGGTTAAGTTCTTATAAACCTCTGAGCCAGATGGTTTCATTTAATTAGTTATTATTCTCACCCTCGTGTCAACTACTCAGTACCTCATTAATAAAGGAGGAAAGGGAATGTGGGAATTGACAGAACTCAAGGAAACAAAGTTGTGTTTTTTCTAGTTTTTCTACATTCTAAATATAATATTTTAAAGAAGTGAAACATACCATGATTTGGCTATAATTAGAAAAAATTAAGAAAACAAGAGTCTCATTGACCATGTGATATATTGTTCTAAAATGTCCCGAGGATAATCAATTATATTTTGATCTGATAGTTGATCTAAAAGGTTAGCATATTTTAAAATGATTACTAGCAAATGAAAAAAATGGGAGGAGTTTTGTGAGCTTGATATCTGGTCTCACCAGCTGAAACCAGCCCTGCTAACTTGGTGACTTCTAGGGGATTTTCTCCTCCCGGTGCTGCCCTGGAAGAGACCTTAAGAAGATAAGATGAAGTCCCAGCAGGAGATACAGGGAGGGAAGAGAAACCCATGAGATAAGGACAGACCATCCTGTAGAAGATCAGCTCCTATCTCAGCTACTGTGCTTTCCTTTCCCCGTCCCTGTATTCCTCTGCCTCCATCCTAACTGGTGACTTCAGCAGAAACTGCTGCTGAAGTTCGCCTCACATAGAACCAGTTTAACCCAGCAGCGGACGGCCAATAGAGAAAGACCCTAAGGGTATTTTTCTAGAGGTTTTGTCTCATCTTGCTTTACTAGGGCATTTTTTTGTTTGTCTTACTAGTCTTTTTCTTGTATTTTATGGTTTCTGGTTTTGTGTTTTTACGGATATCTCTCCTCTGTGTGTATTTTTCTTATTCTTATTGATTTTTTAATTGTTTATTCTGGTTTGTCTCTTTCTCTTTTTAAAATCCTCTTTACTTTCTACAGAGAAGGAGAGATAATGTGCTTAGAGTTGGCTTGGAGGGGTTGTGGTGAGACTCTGGGAGGAGTTAGATGAGGAGAAATTGTAAAAAATATATATTATATGAACAATGTAGCATGAATAATAAAAAAAACCTCTGAGACAGATATTGGGGTTCACACTGAAAATAAGAAAAGTAAAGCCGTAAAGTCACCAGAGAGCTCTTACCTTTCCCAGAGCTGGAGAGATCCTGTCCTCAATGTGATTGGAGACTAATTGACCAAGACTTAATGTCAGCTCTGAGACCCCACTCCTGTCTTATAAACCTCTAGTGCTGGGATTGAAGGCATGAGCTCTGTTTCTCTTTTCTCTTTTAGACTGATTCATTCTCATGTAGCCCTGGGTGGCCTGGAAATCACAGAGATCCACCAGCCTCTGTCTCCTGAGTCCTGGGATTAGCGGTGTATACCACCACTGTCTGGCCTCTATATCTGTGGCCAGCTTTGCATTGTGATCTCCAGACAAGCTTTATTAGATCATGAGCATTATATTACCACAGAAAAAATATTTCCAGTGAAAAATATACACATTATTTCTATTAATTTTGAGATTATAATATAATTGCATCATTTTTCCCTTTTTGTTCCTCTCTCCATATCCTCACCTATGCCCCTCTTTGTTGTCTTTCAAATTTATGGCCTCTTTTTTTTAAGTTTATTAAGTTTACATTTTTAAATTTACAATCTTCTAATTGTATGTTTGTCTTCAGGGCTTATCATTTGGTATGGAAGGAATAACCGGTAGGTGTAGTTTTCCATGGAGAAGTCTATTTCTCTCCCTTTCAGCAACCCTTAATTGCCTGTAGCTCTTTGTGTAGGGTTGAGGGTCATGAGCTTTCCCCTGTCCATGGTGGGATGTCTGTTACCCTGGTTCAGCTTATTTTTAGAAAGAAACATTGGGTTGACTTTATAGTTGTAGCTTCTGACATCCCTGGGAGACACGTTGTCACAGCAAACTTCCTAAGACTCTGGATCTTACATTCCTACCAGCCTCTTCTGCAAGGACCCCTGAACCTTAGGTGTGGGAGTTGTGTTGTCGACATATCCATTGCTAGTGGTTCCACAACTCTACATTTTGATAAGATGGGGTTTGCTGTACTGGTCTCCCTTTGTTGTAGAGAAGTTTCCTTGATGAAGGATGTGGACTGCATTTAACCTGGCTAGACCCTGGAGAAGGATCTTTAGAATATGTTTCAAGGTTTGGTATGTACTTTTAACCATTTCTAAGAATTGTGGTTGTCAAGCAGTATGTAAAGGATATTTAATGCCCATTGTCTTGACCACTGCATTGAAAGCCTGTGAGGTAAACTTTGGGTCATTAACATTCTGGAGGTCCTTGGGGGGATTCCTGAGCAGGGAGTAATTTCCTGTATTAAGGCTTTTACTACCTCTGAGACCTTCACTGTGAAGATTAGAAATGCATCAGTGTGTCTGGTAAAGGCATGGATAAAGAAGACCATTAGGTCTTTACAGCCTTGGTGAAGAGGTTATGCTAAAATGCATATTAACCAGTCTTGTCCAGCTTAGTCTCCTAGGCAGGGAGCAGAGGTCTTCTGGGACTGAAGTCGTCAAGAACATATGTGAAACCGCCCCATGTCACCTTCTGAATATTTCAGAAGAGTCCCTCTTCCGCGACTAGATAACCATATATTTGTTCCAGTTTTATTCTGCCCAAGTGCAGAGTGTCCTGGGATACTTCGATAAGCTTCTCTCAGGTATTTATTTCTAGTCAAACAAACAACACTATTTCTGTGCAGCCATCCTCCCAACCTCCCTCACCATTGCAAAAAGGAATTCCTTCCCTGCTGCCTTTTCTGCCTTTCCGGGGATGTGCTAAGGTTAGTGAGGAGTCAGGTCAACAGGGACAGTTGGAAGGGGAAAATATTATGGAGTATTACACCTAGAAAAAGAACTACAGGCAGCTAATGACTTCTGGTGGTGGGATTGTAGGCTGGCATCCCCCTGCTCCATCCATGTCTAAAATCTATATATGACTGAGTACACACCATGTTTGTCTTTTTGTGACTGGGTTACCTCACTCAGGATGGTTTCTTATAGTGCCATCCATTTGCCTGTGAATTTCAAGATTCCATTGTTTTTTCCCACTGAGTAGTACTCCATTATGTAAATGTGCCACATTTTCTCTATCCATTCCAGTTGAGGGACATCTAGGTTGCTTCCAGGTTCTGGCTATTACAAATAATGCTGCTATGAACATAGTGGAACAGATGCCCTTGTTGTATGAATGTGAGTCTTTGAAAATATGCCTAAGAGTGGAGTTGCTGGATCTTGTGGTAGGTTTATTCCCATTTTCCTGAGGAATCTCCATACTGGTTTCCAAAGTGACTGTACCAGTTGGCACTCCCACTAGCAGTAGAGGAGTGTTCCCCTTTCACCACATCCTCTCCAGCATAAATTGTCCTTGGTGTTTTTGATTTTAGCCATTCTGACAGGAGTAAAATGATATCTCAGAGTTGTTTTGATTTGCATTTCCTTGATGGATAAGGATAGTGAGCACTTTCTTAAGTATCTGTCAGCCATTTTAGTCTCCTCTATTGAGAATTCTCTATTTTGTTCTGTACCCCAGTTTTTTCTGTTCCTTCTTCCACAAGGTTTGTTGAGCCTTACAGAGGCTGATAAATGTGTTCCACTTATGGCTTATTCATACAATAGTCACTTATTCTCTGTATTTAACCAGTTATGAGTCTCTGTAGTCACTGCTGACTACTGTAGAAGTTTGACAGGTACAACAGTGTGCATTTAGCAAAAGGACAACGATTTAGCAAAAGGACAACAGTGTTATCTCTTTTAGGGCCCGTGGCCTCTTTTACCACTGGTTTTTTTTTTTTTTTGGACTAGGTTTACAGTACGAGATGTGAATTCCTTCCTGTGAAGCAGGCCTCAAGGTCAAAATAAGAAAGTGTTTGGTTACATCTATAATGAGCTTGTCATTATTGCACCAGCAGAATCCTCTTTTCTGGTGGGGTCAGCAGTGTAGCATGCAAAGGCCACAGGTGAGTAATACTGCTGCTTACAACTGCTCTCCAGAAGTCTGAACAATACCTTGTAACAATATGAAGGCTAGCCAGAAAGGAGAAAGCTGCCAGCCTAGTTCGAGCTTGATTTTTCTATGTCCTGTGGCCAAGGCATGTGTCATCCTTAGCAACAGGATCGTATCATTTAGTTCTGGTGTGAAACTAACAGGAATTTAAATAACCACATTTTAGGTGGACATTCTTTTTCCATCACATGTGACTAATATCCAGTGAAGGCCCCAGGGGACTTGCAACTGATTGCAAGACCTGGAACTCTTCATCTTTTTTTTGGATTTGGAGGAAATGTGTAGTTTCTGAGTTAGGAAGAATCAACGATAAAAGGATATAACTAGAAGCTACTGAGGAAGCAGAGGGAGTAAGGGGTCCTTCTCCCTAGGGAAACTCAAAAACCGAGGAAAGATTATATGAAGACCCTTCGGCCTTCTGGGAGAGTCCGTGGGAGTAGACGGAGTAGATTGAAGAGTCAAATTTTCATGTACTACACAGATCTTTGTGGTCTCTAAGGGGGAAAAACCAGTTATTCATAGATATCTTAGACCAGCTGCTCTCCTCTCTCCCACTTGCAGAAGAGCTCCAATTGGAGAGTGGTGTTATAGTTAAAGCTGCCACTAGGTGGCCACACCTCCACATCCCCTAATGGTACTGAGGGCAAGCAGGCTTTTTTAAAGAAAACTAAGCCTGAGCACATACTGGCCCTGGATTTCTGAAACACATCATAAAGGTTGATATAGAGAGTTGGTTTCCCACTTGGAAAAGAGTAGAAGACAAGGTCTCTGGCTCTTCTCCCAGAGAGGCATGCCTGTCTTCTGGAGGTGCCTACAGTTTTCACTGTGAGCCACATGTTCCCGTCTGACAGCAGTATATGAAAGATAATGTGTCGCGGTCAATCCTTTTATCCCCAGCGACCAAGTGTGCACTGCATACAGCCCATGTCCTTGATTCCATGCTGTTCTCATTAAGGTGTCTATTGCTGTGATGAAACACCACGACCCAAAAGAAGTTGGGGATGAAAGGATTTGTTTGGCTTATACTTCAACATCATTGTTCACCATCAAAGGAAGTCAGGACAGGAATTTAAACAGGGCAGAAGCCTGAGACAGGAGCTGATTCAGAATCCATGGAGGGGGGCTGCTTACTGGCTTGTTCCTCATGGCTTTTCTGCCTGCTTTCTTATAGAACCTAGGACCACGAGCAGGCCCTCCCCCATCAGTCACTAATTAAGAAAATATCTTACAAGCTTGCCTGCCACCCGATGTTATGGAGGCATTTTCCCAACTGAGTCTCCCTCCTCTCAGATGATTCTAGCTTGTGTCATGCTGGCATAAGACTAGCCAGCACATAAGCTGTGTCTTTTTAGCTACAGCCTACGGACTTTCTCTTTTATCATCGAAGCTCCCTTAGCTCCCTATCCAGGCACTGATAAGAAAGTCTCTCAGGCCCACACTTCTCTGAATAGACTTCCATGTTGAACAGTGGGAGGGGACTGAGGGATAAAGTTAACATTTGTTTCTAACATAGGCAATTAACAAACAACAACAAGTAATGTGTCAGAGGAAGGCAAATTTAGGCAGAATGTCCCAATGGCCACACCCCATGTCTCTCTTGATGAGACTCTAGCTTCCTTTCTTCGAAATGATGGTCATCCTCCCAGGCTGTGGGAAGGCTTGTCAAGGGCCATTCAGAAGTTGGCTGAAAATTAAAGTAAGAGGGCCTACTGTGTGGGATATTTGTATACTGTGTGAAGACATATAGCTGTGTTTGGAGTAATAAAAAGCTGAATGGCCAATAGCTAGGCAGACATATAGGTGTGGCTTCTGGGGAGAGAGAGATAGAGAGAGATAGAGATAAACACACACACACACACACACACAGAGAGAGAGAGAGAGAGAGAGAGAGAGAGAGAGAGAAGAGAGAGAGAGTAGGACATGAATCTAGGCACACATCCGATGCCAGTAACATGGAGGGAGTTGGACATACAGAATGAAAGAAAGGTATACATCCACTAGGCAAAAAGTAGATTAATATAAATGGGTTAATTTAAGTTATACGAACTGGTGGGACAAGCCTAAGCTAAACCCAAGCTTTCATAAATAATAATAAGTCTCTGTGTCATTATTTAGGAGCTGGCTGGTGAGACAGAGAAAAGAGAAAGACTTCTGTTACAGGTCCACAATTCTTAGAATTCTGTGTCTACTTTTGGCTTTAGAGTAGGAACAGGAGCCTGTGCTGCTGGGTAACAGGTGATGAGGTACACTCCTCCAGAGCACTATGTTATTCCCAAGGAGGCTTTGGAAAGTAGAAAATGGTTCTGAGCTGAAGCTCAGAGAGGAATGAGAAAATGTGGACTGTGTTATGACAAATCGTAGCGAAGTAGCCCATGGGAGAAGAATGTACATAGCCAGGGCGGAAACCAGGGATTGGCTGACACTGAGCGAATAGGGAAATAGAAGCACAGAGTCAGAAAGAAGCCAGGATGGAGAGCTGGGATTCTGTGACCCAAGACAGGGAGAGGACGAGCAGAAGGGCAGTTACAGAGATTTCATTCCTAATGTGTTTGGGATTGAAGCATATGAAAATCATCGAGAATAGCTCCTCTGAGTGTATTTCAGAGTTGGTTTTTCCCAACAGCTCTTAAAAAACTCATCTGCCTTTATCCAAGGCCAAGAGACTCAGGGAACAGCGAGCCAAGGTTGGTATCCTCCCAGATAACCAAGATTGTTCTGTCTTATCCCATGCACCTAGGTGATATCTTTTATGCAGGGATCGGGGCAATTATTAAGACGTTGGGATGACTTTTCCTGGGAGAGAGGTAAGGAGTGTGAGAAAGGAGAGGGCACAGAGTTTCTGGGAAAAGAGAGGGAGGGGTTGTTGGAACAAGAGTGAAGATTCCTAGTTCTAGTACTGTATATAGTTCTCTACTTGTGGAAGGGAAGAACTCTACTACCTTCAGGCACTCCCAGCTACAGCATCCAGATGTTCTCTGTGTTTCCTTGGTTCTTCGTGCTCAGCAAGAACAGTTCAGCAAAAGACAAAGAAAATAACAGCAAGCAGATATATCCAAGTGATATATCTTGCAAGGGATATGAATAGACCATTCAAGAGAAGATTAGTCCATATGGTCTCATCCTGCTGTCTTTTTCCTGTCTTCATAACACTTTCTCTTCTCTTTTTATGACTGGTGAACTCAGAAGAGCCTGTTTCTGCTTTTTACCCCCTAAAATGGTACCTTATATTCTCGTCATGCACACAATGGCTAAGGAAGGCCAACCTTTTTTTAATAACTCAGCAGAGAGACTGCTGTGTTTGGCGAAGGTCACCTCTCTTTGTGCACAGGAGCAGCCACGAGGAAACAGAGTCGACAGCAAGGAAACTGACAATGACCATATGTTTAGAGGTAGTTGACCACTGTGTGTTGAGAGTTGTCAAAAGCATTAAGAGGGGTCTGGGAAGATGGCTAGTCAGTAAAGTGCCAGCTGTTCAGGCATGAAGACTACAGTGCAGATTCCCTACCACCAGTGTAAAAGCCAGGTGTGAAGGTAATCGCGGTTCCAGGGAGGCAGAGAGCTTGCTTGCCATCCAGTCTAGCTGACTTGGTGAGCTCCCTTCTCTCAAAAACCCAGTCACAAAAAGACAAACATGGTGTGTACTCATTCATATGTGGATTTTAGACATAGAGCAAAGGATTACCAGCCTACAATCCACACCACTGGAAAAGCTAGGAAACAAGGAAGACCCTAAGAGAGACATATATGGGCCCCCCCGGAGAAGGGGAAAAGGACAAGATCTCCTGAGCTAATTGGGAGCATGCTGGGAAAGGAGAAGGAGTAAGGAGAAAGAGAAGGGGAGAAGAGGAGGGAAGAGGAGGACATGAGAGAGCAGGAAGATCAAGCCAGGGGAAGAACAGAGGAGAGTAAGAGAAGAGACACCATAATAGAGGGAGTCATTATAGGTTTAAAAGAAATCTTGCTCTAGGGAAATGTCCAGAGGCCTACAAGGATGACCCCACCCAAAAATCTAAGCAATAGTCGAGAGGCTACCTTAAATGCCCTTCCCTGATAATGAGATTGATGACTACCTTATATGCCATCCTAGAGCCTTTATCCAGTAGCTGATGGAAGCAGAAGCAGACGCCCAGAGCTAAACACTGAGATAAACTCCTGGAATCCAGTTGTAGAGAGGGAGGAGTGATGAGCAAAGGTGTCAAGGCTAGAGAAACCCACAGAGACAGCTGACCTGAACAAGGGGGAGCTCATGGACCCCAGACTGATAGCTGAGAAAACAGCATAGGACTGTTTCAGACCCCCTGAACATGGATGTCAGTTAGGAGGTCTGGTTAATCTATGGGGCCTCTGATAGTAGATCAATATTTATCCCTAGTACACAAATAGACTTTGGGAGCCCACTCCACACAGAGGGATACTCTCTCAGCCTAGACACACGGGGGAGGGTGTAGGCCCTGCTCCAAATGATAAGACAGACTATGAAGATTCCCCCATGGAAGGCCTCACCCTCTCTAGGTAGCAGAGAGGGGATGGGATAGAGGGTCAGTGAGGAATAGGGGAGGAGGGGAGGAAGAGAGAACTGGGATTGACATGTAAAACAAGCTTTAAATTTAAATTTAAATTTAAAAAAAGAAAAAAAAACCAGCATGCAAAAAAAATACCAAGGAGAAACAATTGAGGAAAATGCTTGAGGTTGACATCTGGCTTTCACACACACACACACACACACACACACACACACACACACACACACACACACACACACACACAGGTCATCAGAGCCCTTTTTGAGAAGAACCCATATTGTATACAGATAAAATCTATTCATCAGGCAGGATACTTTGTCCCTCGTCCTCCCTACTTTTAAGTAAAGATTGTGTACCCCTGAATAAGGTAAAGTACTTGAGTAGTGATATATGGTAATCAACAAGCCTAGCAACAGCTGAGATGATCAATGATGAGCAATAGTGGCAGTCATAAGTCAACTGGGGACCCCGAGCTCTTTTCTGAGCCTCTAGGTTATTGTTCCCAGCAGACTTAGTGGCCTAAGCTTGCATAGGATGGAACAACAACAAACCAGTGAACTTTTAGCTCTCACGTTGCTCTAAATGTGTCATAAATATTTTTAGGAACACAAATTTTAATTGAAGCAACAATAAATTCCTAACACCATTTTCACTGAGGACATCATGTATAGCTGATTTGACTTTCTATTCACAACAGTCACAGACTCCTTTTATCTGGTGTTTTGCCTGATACTAATAATAGCAATGAAAGGTTACTCAATTTCCACCAAGAATGGGAATCATATGTGAGAAAACAGGCTGTGAAGGTAATGGTAATCTTTTGGAGAATTTAAGAAGATGTTTATTTTACCCAATACCACTTAAAATTTCCATGGAGGTTTGTATGAGAAACTCTAGGTTTTTATTGGTTGTTTTGTCACCTCAAGATGAAGTACTTAGCTTATCAGCACATTATTAACTCCCTTGAACACCTCCAGTGTCTAAACAAATAATAGCAATTTACAAAATACTGAATAAATACTTGAGTGTTTAACTATGGATGCTCTATAATACTTAGATACTAGAGGGAGCTAATGAATAGAAAAACCTGTTATATATGAAGTTTTGTCACATGGTAACAATGGTGATAATAATAAAATAATAAAATTGTCATTCTAGTTATTGTGTGACTGTTGGTGAAGAACATGAGTGTAAATGTATGCACATGACCTGAAGAACACAGAAGAGGACATCAGGTATCCTCCTCTATCACCCTGTGCTTCTTGCCTTGGCAGAGTCTCTCAATGAACAAGAAGCTTGCTGTGTCTACTAGGCTGGACTGCAAGATCCTAAGATCTGCCTGTCTTAGTTAGGTTTTCTATTGCTGCGAAGAGAGACACCATGACCATGGTAACGTTTATAAAGGAAAACATTTACTTGGATGACTTGCAGTTTCAGAGGTTTAGTACAGTATCATCACGGCAGGACATGTTGGCATGAAGGTAGTCATGGTGTTGGAGAAGAAGCTGAGAGTTAATATGTCTTGATCTACAGGTTAACAGGAAGTGAACTGCACTGGGCATAGCTGGAGCATAGGAGACTCCAAAGTCCATCCCCACAGTGACACACTTCCTCCACCAAGGCCACACCTACTTTGACAAGGTCAAACCTCCTCACAGTGCCACTCCCTGTGAGCTTATGTGGACCAATTACATTCAAATTACCACATTGCCCATCTCCATACTCTAATGTTTGTGTGACAGGCACTCACTGCCTTGTTCAGCTTTTTGCATTGGTGCTGGGCTTTCAAATGTAGGTCCTCATGTATGCCCAGTAAGTGCTCTCTCTCACTGAACTATCCATTCGGCCCCTATGTTTGAATTTTTGTATCACTGAATGGGAGCAAAGCAACGGTGTTGTCTAAGTCTTATTGTGAACAGAACAAATGAAAAAAATGTGTTAATAACTGAGCAAATTTGACTACGTACTAGGTGTTAGCCAACATTAGGAATTCATTGTAATTGGCTGAATTTTTCATTTAAAATGTTATATAGGAAAATATTATGATGTAAGGGTTGGATATTATTATGTCTTTTAAACAAATCTGTGCAACACAAATGACAAAATGATATACAGACATTTCTTATTTTCAACTCTACTTTTCTGAATATTTGAAATTTTTCATAGTAAAAATTACAAATACAAGGCAAAAGGAAAGGAGAGAAGAGACAAACTATTAGCATTTTGTTAAGAAGCAAACAAAACAATGGATACAGAACTGCATAGCAGGATGGAGGCCTGACTTCTGTCATGTGCCTGGTTACACACGAGCCATCCCTACCATTGCCTGAAACAAAAGACTGGCAAATGAATTGTTGATAAGCATGTGAACTCGTAGATTATTTATATCTGACATGAATCCAAAACTGTAAAAGCACTTTGGAAAATTGCTCAGAATCTTCTAAATCTATGTGTAGTCAAGCAATTTCACTCCTGGTTATACACAAGCAAATTAGTGTGCACATCTACAAAAACATACAGAAAAATATTCATAGCAGTTTATTAATAACAGCACAAAACTGCAAGTAGCCAGATGCTGTTCAAAAGTAAATGGATAGACAGATAATAGTGTGTTTATTGAAATGTACTCCAATTAAAAAGATGAATTCTTTTACATGCAACAACAAGGATGAAACTCCTTGGTCATAGGTTAACCAGACAAAGACATATTTATTTTGCGAATCTACATGAAATTAAAGAATACGTAAAACTACCCAATGGTAGTAGATGAAGGATAGTAGGATACTGGAAAAGCTACCTTTAAGAGTTTATTTTAGTTTCAGTTATAAGTATGTGTGTGGTTATATGCACATATATGTATGCAGGAACCTACAGAGGCCAGAGATCCTCTGGAGCTGGAGTTATATGTGGTTGTGAGCCATATGACATGGATGTTGGGAACTGAACTGAAGTCCTCTTGAAGAATATGCAAAGTATTAGTCATTGAGCCCCCAAATAGTCTTGATATTTAGTAGGCATATATATATATGTATATATGTGTGTGATATTCTATATGATATATAGAATTGGAATTGAAAAATAGTTTGAATATAAAAAAGTACATAAAGAACATCCTCCATACCTCCGTATCTGTTAAAGTGTGATTATATATATATACACACATATATATAATACATAGAATACATAAAAAATTAGTTTCCACATGCTAGGAAGGAAGTGCAAGCAAGAAAATGTAAATAGTTTAATTAATTATAAAATTAAACAAAATTCATATAGTTAAATTCCAGTTTTTGCCAAAACAATGTTCTATTTTAAAGTTGTGCCCCATGTTATTTTTTGCTCCAGTTAAGCAAAGAATGAAGTTCAGATACTTTTGAAGTAAATTTTATGCATTTTGGACTGTATTGACATAATCTTATTCTCATGACAATGCTCGCTCTTGCATTTATGGTGGATAAATTGCATATATCTATTAATTTACAATCATCCAGATTTTCATACAGTCATTGGTTGAATGCCTTACATATGCCAAATGCATTGTTAGGTACCGGTAAACAAATTTAACTAATGTGTTATCTCTTTATAATTTTACAATTTAGAAAAACTCAATTATGGCATGACTGCTTGAGTTCTATCAGATGCCACTTCTAATCAAAAGGCAAAACAATGATCATGCATCAAAAGAGCATGCAAGTCCATTCTCAGCTACATGCAATGTGTATTGAATCTGTCTACCTCTGCCCTCAGAAGCATCCACCAAGCTTCTAAACGTTAGATATTTTAGGTCAAATGATTTTGAAATTTAATATAAAACTCTGAATTTCAGATTGTCTACATGCATATTAAACAGGATCACTTGAAAAGAGTTGGAGCTGCAAATTGTTAAATAGTTTTATACTACCCAAACTTCGTTGGAAATGTAGGCATTGCAGATGTTATCCTATAAAGTGATTGTTTTGTGTTGCCTGTGTAATACATAGTGTGTCTTCTATAACTTTTCTCCTTCTGCAGTAAATAATCACTTGGTGAATAAAATATTCATGTCTCCATTATTCTCCAAAAAATGTGTTTGCTTGCTTTCTAAATTCTGAGGCTTAACTCTTGAATGTGAGAGTTTAGTGTGTAGACCTTTTGTGGCCTTCATTGAGAAATTGGAATATAAAGCCCCCCACTTGGGTGATTCCCATATCTTAAAGCATTGGGCACAATTTCATCTAAGACATATGAAGATGACACACCGTGTTGAGCATGTGACCATTTAGTGAGACATGTGAGAGCCACATGTCTCCATGAAACCTCTGGATACCTTTATGAGAATCAGGCACACAGAGCCCCCATTCTGAAAGGTAATATATCTCTTTAAGCACCACTCTTGTCATCTCCCAGGGTTTCATTTCATGAAAAAATATTGGTTGACATTATAAACAGGTGCCAGAGTGCACTCATCCAACTAATGAAAAATTTAGCTGGATTTGAGCACAACAGCAAAGTCACTTATGGGGGGAAAATGCAGTCTGATAGATGACAATTATTATAAGGTAAATTATTAATATCTCACCAAGAAGCAATCATTTGGCAAAGACTAAGTCACTTTTTACATATTGGCAGGAAATAGGAGGTACGAAGTGAGTATGTGGTGTGAGAGAGGGATGACACCTTGTAGGACACAACTAAAATATTCTCACACTGAGTGCAGTAAATCCAGGTGAAGCCAGGCCATCCATGATGGCTAACTTGTAAAAGAGCCACTGTCACATCAGCTTATCAGTGCTTAGGGACAGAGATAGAACAGATGAAGAGTTGAGACTCCAGAAACTATACATCCTGCCAGAGTCTGAATTCTGCCACATTAGATATGTGAGCGAAGATTCAGAGAACCTCTATCCCCCCAAGTTCTTAAGGACAAAATAGTTATAAATGAGAGGCATCTCCCAATAATTCTCAGATACTGCCTTCTATCAGGTTATACTATTCATAGATAATCAGTGTGAGTCAGAAATATTAAGTATGAGTTAGATGATGTGTAATTTGCTGTCCAATGGTATTAGCATCAGTGTACACCTTGTGAAATTTTATAATTGTTTAATACTCATCTTACACAATGGTGAAGGGAAGGCCTCTACCTTTTAAGTGCACTGTTTTGTTTTATATTCTCATTGAGGCATATCTGCAAATGCTTGTGACCTGTCCTGTCTAATTGTATTGTGTTGGTTTTTAAGATGAGTCACAGGAAGGTTGATTCTTCCCTCTCCAGCCTGCAAACAATCCGAGAGGGCAAAATAAGATAGATGTCACCTATCTTAACTGAAAACCCAGAAAATTTTCCTTCTAGCTAGAAAGTAATGTCTTCACAGCTTATCATCCATGGCTTAATACTATTTCCTCTCAGGGTTTGTCTGTACTACAGAGCTATTGTGTGGCTTATAGTCAAGGCACAACCACGTACTAGTTTATTCTCAATGCAGAACTCAACTCCCATCATGTATTTGAAAGTGAGTCATATTAAGAAACATGTATTATACTCTGTGCATTATCCACCCTCCACAGCCTCTATCGCTGTTGAGATCCAGTTAAGAGATGTGGTAGGAAATGTGTTCTTTATAAAAAGAAAAGTGCATGCCTAGTCTTATTTCAATAAACAATAATTCCTTTTAGGAGAAATTGTGGCACAATGACTACTCAGTATCCACAAAAGTTTTGATAGCAAATACTGTAACATTCAGGCTGCAGGAAGCTGAAGTTTCAGTTCAATTTTTTCCCACACACCCTGTATTAGTTGACCTGGCCAATCTAGATATACTGTAGATTTATAGAATAAAAGGAGTAGGGACAAGAGTTGTGAACATTGGTCTGGCCAGTCATCTCACCTTGACTTGGATTATAGTTAAAAGGCTAGGTGGAATTTGGGTCTATAGAAAGCTCATTGCAGAATCCATCTCCTATAAATGGCTGCTTACAATCACAAAGACAAAGAAAAGGGCTGCACTGTGGGACCTTGGACTTGCCTTTCTGTCTTGGCTTGTCTTTTTTTTTCCTACCTGTACGCCCCTTTGAATTCTTAAGTCCACGACTAATAGCCTCTCTTTTCTTAAATGGTTATTTTGCATGCGATTGGCCTTTAAAAAGTTTTAGACTCTTTTACTGAAAAGACCTGAGTGGGTGCATTTATTGACACTCTTTACATTGAAAGTGCCCAGAACTAGATGTGGATTGACATTTAAGAACTGAATAGTGAGGATAAGAAAGCCCTGGAAAACTCTCAAGCTAACAGAGAAAGCTGCTGGAGTTTGGAAAGCAAGGTGGAAGCTAGCTGGAGGTCAAGTGCCACAGCCTGGTCTCAAGAAACTCTGCTGTCAAGTATTGCTTGCATACAGAACGTGGTGTGCAGGGCCAAGGTTTAAGAATGAGAAGCTTTCAGCATAGGAACAAATCAAAGCGACCTTGGCCTTATGTTGCTGACCCTAATAAACAGCACTTCATAGAGTATTTTCTGTTTGGACAGAAGACATTGCATTTCTGACCTGTGTCACTTTGGGTCTTTGGAAGTTTCCTTTCCACCAGGACAGTCTCCCTTCCTTCTTCTCTCCTATTCTTCCTTCTGTGGCTCCTTTTCTTCTCTTTCACTGTTTTTTCCCCTCTCTGTTTCTCTTTTTTTATTTCCTTGATCTTATGTAGCCAAGGCTAGTCTTAAATGTAGCCAAGGATGAACTGGAGCTTCTCCCACTATTCCCATTATTTGTAAATTTGGTCTTTTCATAGTGTCCCAGATTCCCCGGATGTTTTGTGCCTTGGTGTTTTGGGATTTAATATTTTCTTTGACTGAGATGTCCATTTCTTCTATCTTGTCTTTAATGTCTGTGATTCTCTTCCATACCTCTGAGATTTTAATTTGACATCTTAAATTTTTCTTTTCAAGTTTTACCTCAGTTTGTGTGGTTTTTTTTTTCCTTTCACGTCTTGAACTGTTTTCTTCTTACTGTGGTTAAACTATTCTGCATTAGATAATCTTTTGTTCAAAAACCTTTGCACTAACACTGCTTACTCATTGCTTATTTAATTTTAAACATAGCTGGCAAAACAGTTTAATGTTCAATAGTTGTGGCACACACTTTTACTCCCAGCACTCAGGAGGCACAGGCAGGATGATCTCTGAGTTCTAGACCAGCCAGTTCTGTAGATTGAATGCTGGGACAGTCAGGGCTACAAAGAGAAACACTGTTTCCAAAACACCAAACCAAAGCAAACTAAATGAAACAAGCAAACAAAAAACACAAACAAACAAACATGTTTATATGCCCTCAAGTGCAGTGTCCAGTTAGCCATTTTTAGGAAACAAATCACACCAAATCTTAGTGACTTGCAGAGAGAAACAGTCTTATTACTTTGCATAGCTTTTGTGTGTAAGAAATTTGGTGCAAGACTGGAGGTTTGGTGTGGCTCAAAGACTTCATATCAGTGTTCTAGGACTTTGATAATAAGAATTCCAAGATCCAGGTGCTGGTGAGATTGATTTTTAGTGTAGCCTTTTAACTTTTTACTTATATATACTTACTACTATTCATTCTGTCCTTTCAGGGCCTTCCCTGCATGCATGTGTTTTGGGAGAGAGTTCTCTGCTACCACTTCTTACATAGACATTGGTCCTATTAGACAGACACTTTTTTGTTTTCAAACCTGAAAGCTTTGTCTCCAAGTACAGTCATTTTGGAAGACAAGTTAGTGTATAACTGCCCCCTTTCTTCTCTGTCACACCTTCTCCTCCTCTCCTCCCCCCCCATTCCTCTTTCTTGCCTTCCTTTATGTCTCCAAGGAAAAGACTCTGTGAATCCTTTTCTATGTTTTTTTTTTGCATTTCTATATGTGATCCTCCCACGTGGACCCATTTGGACTTGTTGACCTGGATACATACCATCTGGGTATCTCCCAGATCAAAGGGCTTGAAAAAGTAAGGTAGAAAAACATGTCACTGTTATGGGTTTGTCTTAAAAAGTCACATTTATTCATTTTTGTCATAGTGGATTAAAGAAAGCAGAGGTGTATGTAGCTTCAAGGGGATGAGGTGTAGTGTTCCCCCAGAGGAGTTATTAAAGCCACATGGGATAGGTGGTGTATGGCTGCTGCTCTTTTGGGGAAACATTTTTGTCATGGGCCATGATGCTCCTGTGAGTTTCATATCCTCCTTCCTAAGAGGTCCATTGTAAGAAGTTGCCCATTAAGTTATCTGGAGATCAGCTGCTCTCAGTTTATACACATACATTTTCTTATTTGACCTTCTGGGGACAGCATTTTTAAATTTGTAACTGGAAAGATGAGATACTTAAAGATAAGAAAACCAGCATCAAGACTAATGAAAAACATCTACAAACATTTCATGTTTCTGGTGGTTCAGTTGTTTATGTTTAAGGACCTGCAACTTATTGGATGAAGTTTACCTACCTTTTGAAAGATAATCGACTTAAAGTCTACTGATTTAAAAATTAATTTCGGCTACACAGTGCTTAGGTATCATCTTTTTGTAGTTAACAAAATACTCAGGTCCATGGCCTTACTAGCAGTGTTTTCTGTGATTAAACCGTGCAACTGGGAACAGCAGTACTAGAACCATTAAGAACCTTTAAGCTCATAGTACACAGATATGTTACTTATGAAATTGCCTCACCGTGAAGAGCTTGTACCTCATAGACTCCTTTCCGCAGACTGACTGACTGACTGTACACGCAAGGGCTTCAGTGAGGTGTGATGGAAAACATTTAGACCAATAATAACAACCTCCAAGCTCAGCATGAAATCGTTCACATAAAAATCCTAATTGTCATAAAGCAAATCAGGTATCTCTAGTTATGCCTCTGCCCTCCTCTCAACTTCCAGCATCTTCTACTCCACTAGTAAACAAAGAAAGGGTGTGAAGGGAGCTAGGTAATAAAATTTAGCTGTATCTTAAAGCATCCAACGAGGTCCAGAACTTGTTGATCCATCACAGGCTGAGACATGGGTCACTGTCTAAACTGACTGTACTCCCCAATTTATTTATTTTTATTTTATGTGAA